TTTATTCATATAGAATACTCTCGATGATTCCAATTTTAAATGGAGGCCACAGACTGCGCCACGAAGATTTTAGCGAGCGGTAAACACAACGTGTTTACCGGCTAATTCTTCCACGCTACCTTTACCCTGCCCTTTACCCTGCCCTTTACCCTGCCCTTTACCCTGCCCCTTGGCATGTCGACAACTTTACCTTTATTTACCTCGCCGAGGCCTACTCTCCACTCATCCACCCACTCGCCACACTGCAGGTCACCCCACGCATCTCTCCGTTTCTTCTCTCACACTGCTCCACGTTGCAATTCCACTCCTCTTCCCATCATCATCGACAACATCGACAACAACACCGTCTTCACATCCAGAGCCCTCAACGTTAACCTTGCTCAATTCAAGAAACGTCTTACTCTCATCGATCAGAACTTTGACGGCACTGTGTTTTTTCTGGCCACGTGACATTTCGGTTGCCTCGAGACCCGTGCTCATCAATTAAAACATCGACGCACGCTTACTAACACCACAGAAGCAGATCACCCCATCCTCCTCTTGTGCGACTTCTCCACCCGTCTTTATTTCTCTCTCTCTCCGTTGACGGTGAACCACTTAGAAACAACAGTGACGTGGACTACGCGTGCTCTAAAAGACACTTCCACGCAAATCGGGACCAAACCAAAACAAACACACAAGTGAGGCTAAACAGACCGCGACGACCACCCCCCCCCCCCGGGGCTGTCGTACAGGCAATACAAGAACGCCCCTTTTTTTTCCACTGCCACATCCGAGCCGAGCCACCGCGGGGGTCCTTGCGGTAACAGGTGGTGCGTTTTTCCCACTGCGGCTATTCGCCGAGGCGAGCCGCAAACAAAGCGTGACGATCCGCTGCTGCTAAAAGCCTCGCACGGAGACGTCTGCATCTGCCTCGGGGGGAGAAGGGGGCCAAGCAGGGCCAGGGAGTGGAGCTAACGACGAGCATACTGCACGTGACGACGGTCAGTACGTGGCGAGGCCGTGACACGTTATCGCCACGTTTCCGACTTTTTATTTTGTTCGTTTTCACTCTCATCTCCGTTTTTTTTTCTACAGACGCGAGGTACATTACTCCTTCCACGTTGCACCAAACTCCTCGATGCTTGTGTATGGAGGCAACGTTGTTCAGGAGCTGAATGCCAATGTCTGCTTGCCCACGACGAGAGAGCTTCAGGAGAGAGTTTGTGTCGTTTTGCCGCTCGGTTGTGCGGTGGAAAAAAAACGACAACATGCCAACGCCCGGCACGGCTCGGCACGGCTCGGCTCGGCACGGCTCGGCACGGCTCGGCACGGCTCGGCACGGCACGGCTCGGCTCGGCACGGCTCGGCACGGGTGCAGCTCAGTAGTTCAGTGGAAAGACGAACACAAAAAATCAACACAATTCAGGCGGCAACACAGAAGTGTGACTGCGATCTACCCCCTAACCCCAAACGAACTTCGTTTTGCTAATTTGTGGAACGCCCCGGGGGAAAACGAGTGAACGTTTCAACCTGCAAGCACCCGCTGGTAGTATCCCACCCACCCCGTGAAATATCCGACCTATGAGAGTTTACAATTCACGCCCGGAGCCCTTCCCTAGAGGGTATACGGCAAATCGGGGGGCGACACCACAGTATCACGATATAATACTTCTGGTTTAGTTTGAAGGCATGGGAAGGGGGGGGGGGCACACTGTGAGTTGCCCACCAGAACCTGCATCCCCCCCCACCCGCCACCACCTCTATGGACAGCCCTGCTCGTGCTACTGCTGGCAAGAGGGTCTCTCCAAGGCTCCGGTTCTGCAGTGGGAGAGGAAGAAATAAAACCTTATGCTCGGTTTGTGCCAGTGGGTTGAACCGAGGCATTGTCCAGGAGGAGCCTCTGAGCTCGGGAGAACACCCAATCCCCGGCCGTGCGTGCGATGCCAAGGGGGGTAGCGCCCACAAGGCCCGCCCCGTCTCGTTCGCTCCATCCGCCAGTGCAAAGAGACAACACTAAAGTGGAAAACGAAACCATAAATTACACCGACACTCAAAAGGGGCAAAAGCAACAAGTTCTAAATCCTTGTCCATAAACACCGACATCGTATACAGAAAGGTTAAGGGGGCAGCCCCGCAAGTGCTTGTTTGCGCCCCCCGCCCACCCGCCGGTGGGAAGGGCGCGAGGCCCCCGCGACAGCGAGCGACGCTGCCGCGCTGGGCGGACGCCGTGGAAGGAGGTGGAGGTCACCATACTCCACCCCACCGCCGCACGCCACCGATGACCGAATCCGGAGAGCCCATCTCAGCTGTTGAGTGTTACAGGGGCAGCGGTGGCCGTGGGGGAACGGGGGGTGGGGAGTTTAAGAAACTCGCCCCCCCCCCCCCCCCCACGTTGTTTAAAACCGCCGAGCCGGTAGATGGAATCGAACCGACGGACCTCTGGATCGCAAGTCGCGTGACGCACTGCTAACGGTGACACCACCGATGCAGCAGCAGTAGCAGCAGCAGCAACCCTTGTACATAAATAAAGTAAAAAAAAGTAAAACACAAAAGCTGAAAATGTAAGACAGGCCAACATTGCTTGTACATTTGCATATAAATAACCGCACACAGACGCACGCGCAGACGCTTCGTGTAAATGCCCTCAAAAAACAAGCTGCACGTATCGCTTCGGCGCCACCGCCGCGCGCACCAAAGGTCAAGAAGCAACGCGACCTCCGCTGTACGGAGCGGCCGCCCTTCAAACTCAACTCCGTTTCGCGGCCCCACTCTGGTAACTGCACGGCGCACGGCCGACCGCCACCGCACACACCCCGCTGCCCCCCCCCCACACCTCCGTGCGACAGCACTCGCACGCGCACGCTGGCGAGACCTGTCGTTTTCTACGGATGTTCGCACGTCCGAGCGTTTCGTGTCGACGCGACGCGAAGAGGATTTCCGTCGGGGAGTTTGAGCGGCCTTGCTGTGGAAGACGACGTCAGGGTACTAACTTCTGAGGTCTCCGCAGAAGACGTCTCGCTCCACACTCGGGGGCACGACGCCTGTCACATGCCCTGCGAAGAGCGTTCAATTCAACCAAACTGACATTTTTCATTCTCGGAAGAGGAAGGTGTTTTTTTTGTGGGGGGCAAATAAAATAAAATCCAAACTTACAACGATCTTCTACAGACCATTGCATTGTCTACGGAAACGTACTTCAAAGTTTAAAGGATTCGTTTGTGTTTGTGTGCAGTCATTGGTGACTGGGCTGAGGCCATCAACTCAATGGATTTGAGAACCCGCTGGATTACGTCTCAGTCTATGCGAGTCGATGGGTCTCTGTGCGAGTCTGCGGGTCTCACACAGAGACCCATAGACTCACACAGAGACCCAAAGAGTTGGTGGTCTGAATGACTCACAGAGTCGATGGGTCTCTGTGCGAGTCTGCGGGTCTCACACAGAGACCCATAGAGTTGGTGGTCTGAATGACTCACATAGACTCTATGGGTCTCTGTGTGAATCTACGGGTCTCACACAGAGACCCATAGAGTTGGTGGTCTGAATGACTCACAGACTCTATGGGTCTCTGTGTGAGTCTACGGGCCTCACACAGAGACCCATAGAGTTGGTGGTCTGAATGACTCACAGACTCTATGGGTCTCTGTGTGAGTCTACGGGTCTCACACAGAGACCCACAGAGTTGGTGGTCTGAATGACTCACAGAGTCGATGGGTCTCTGTGCGAGTCTGCGGGTCTCACACAGAGACCCATAGAGTTGGTGGTCTGAATGACTCACATAGACTCTATGGGTCTCTGTGTGAATCTACGGGTCTCACACAGAGACCCATAGAGTTGGTGGTCTGAATGACTCACAGACTCTATGGGTCTCTGTGTGAGTCTACGGGTCTCACACAGAGACCCATAGAGTTGGTGGTCTGAATGACTCACAGACTCTATGGGTCTCTGTGTAAGTCTACGGGTCTCACACAGAGACCCACAGAGTTGGTGGTCTGAATGACTCACATAGAGTCGATGGGTCTCTGTGCGAGTCTACGGGTCTCACACAGAGACCCACAGAGTTGGTGGTCTGAATGACTCACAGAGTCGATGGGTCTCTGTGCGAGTCTACGGGTCTCACACAGAGACCCACAGAGTTGGTGGTCTGAATGACTCACATAGAGTTGATGGGTCTCTGTGTGAGTCTACGGGTCTCACACAGAGACCCACAGAGTTGGTGGTCTGAATGACTCACATAGAGTCGATGGGTCTCTGTGTGAGTCTACGGGTCTCACACAGAGACCCACAGAGTTGGTGGTCTGAATGACTCACATAGACTCTATGGGTCTCAATGCGAGTCATTAAGACCACCAACTCAAAAAGGGCCTTACCCGAGAGAAAACCAGCAAACGGCTGCCCAAACAAACGTGCAGACTCGAACCGAAATTATTATTTGCAGAATCCATGCGCATGCATAGTTTTTTTTCCTCCCCGACTTGTTTAATTTTACAGAAATTTGAAGTTTGCATCGCTCCACCGTCAGCTGGAGCAAATATTTTGGTGCAGCGACCTCGTTGCACGGACATCCACACGTAAGCGATGCAGCCGCACGCAACCAAGTTGCAGGCAACGGAGTCGCTCACGTGTGCAACGTCTTGAGACCGCGATATCCGCACGTAAACGGCCGTGGTTCAAAATGTTAATCGCGTTGTGCAGTTTTCTTGTAAATGTTCTATTTTGTTTTTTACCGCGGTTGTTCCGCACAAAACCCCAGAGACCCGACACGCCATGCAGCACTCTCTCTCGCGAGTGTGACGGGCGGGATGTGCGGTAAGACGAGCCGATGCGAGATGCAACAATATTCTTAGGTTTTTTCGGTAAAGTCACCATGTAGGTAAAAAATGTAAATTAATAAAAGTAAATAAAATTTAAAATCACGACGTTTCGAAGGCAACACAAGCTTCCGTCTTCAGGTGGAACCGTCACACCACCTGAAGACGGAAGCTTGTGTTGCCTCCGAAACGTCGTGATTTTTATTTTATTTACTTTTATTCATTTAAATTTTTTACCTACGTGACTTTACCGAAAAAACCTAAGAATATGAATCCTTGCAGTCACGAAAGCTTCAAATCTAGAAATATGCAACAATAACACTCCACTCCACTGTGCTTACGCGGAGCAGTGTATTGTGGGAGGAAGTTTTAACACCAATCTCTCTGGGACAGGCAGGAGGGGGAGTGGGTGGCAGCCGCTCGGACGCTTAGGCCTTACCCACAATGCTTTGCATGTGTGACCCATTTTGCCGGAGTGACGACTCAGAGTGGAAGGGAGGCGATCAGCAGGAAGAGACCAGGAGAATTATGGGTAATTGGCATCGCCCCATCGGTGTTGTAAACGTCGACCATCAACCTTCGTCGCTGAGCGTTTGTTGCGCTCTCCTCCCTCTCCTCGCTCACAATTGCCTCTCCACCCACCACCCAGACTCCGCACCACTCGCCCTACAACCCTCAACCCTTGAACCCGGCGTGGGGGGGCGGAGGAGTGGGGGGCACAGGGGCAAGGGGGGGGGGGAGTGGGGGGTGACGTCAAGCGTTCATGGCGGCCGTGGCGACGTCGGTGAACACCAAGCGGCTGGGCCTCTGCACGGTGCTCTGTGTCGCGCCGGGACCCTGCAAGTGCCCAGACAAAGACAAAGATCCCCCATGTAGTCCACCCAGACTGCTGGGCCAAGTGCTACCTGGCGGTGCTGCTGCGCGGGTTGCACCAAGCCAATCGGTGGTGGTGCCGTGGTGCCGGTAGCGCCGTGCTACGCGTAGCGCCCTCACCTTGCCGGCAAGGGGGCCATCTCCGCTGGGGTCGAGCAGCTCCTGCTCGAGCTCGTCCTGGTCCTCGCTCGGGTCAAAGTTGTACATGGGCATCAGCTGGTGGCGCAACTTCTCCAGCCTGCGGCGGGAATGGGGGGGTCATTGAGGGGGGGGGGGGGCGAGAGGGGCACAGTGGTGGGGGGGGGTGAGGGTGCCACTCCCAGTTAGGGGTAAAACGAGGTGAAACTGTGTTTGTGTGCGTGAGTGTGTTTGTTTGTGTGTGCGCGCATGTCTGTGTATGCATAAATATTGTAGGGAGCGGTGGCGCAGCGGTTAGCGCACATCGAACCCGGATACCGAATACCTGGGATCAATTCCCGCTCAAGGACAACACCGGTGACAATTATCTGAACCGGTCCTGGGCCTCCCCCAGGTCGACTCAGCCTCAAATGAGTACCTGGTGCGGTGTGTAAACATCGCCACTGGTGAGACAAAGGCGGTCGGGCGTCGTGCTGGCCACCAACCGCCTCGTGTGCCGTTCCGTTCTTCATAGGTGCTACTCGCTAACAGCACTTGCCCCCTGCAGTCTGTTAAGGCTACACGGGGGATCTTTACCTTTGTAAGCGAGCGAGACCAGCCTTTTGAATGACCTCGTTCGTAACTTTACATCTGAAGCGTCTTAAACGTGGAGAGTGCGGTGATCATTATCAAAGTCACTCACCGCTTCCTTTTGCGGATGTACATCGCCTGTGGGCGCAGTGGTGAACGTTGAGACAAAGAGAGACACAGAGGGACAGAGGCAGAGAGAGACATTAATGCATTGCTCATTATCACCACCATCAGCACGTGCACGCGTGTCTGTACATCGCTGTGAGCGTGTACACACGCTGAACTTCTTTCACACCATACGTAACCAACCGTGCAGATCGGAGGTTTGTAGCAAAGCGCTCCATGCCAGCGCTCCCCAACCTTCTTGGCGCCAGGGATCGGTTTCGCGGAAGACAATTTTTTCAGAAGCTCTCCAGCGACGTGTGTTTGTTACTCATTATGGCTACTAGGGGTAGAGCTTGTGGGCTCACCACAACTGTGGCCGACACGAGTGTTTGTTACTCATGGTGGCTACGAGGGGCTAGCAGCTCGTGGGCTCACCACAACTGTGACTGAGACGAGTGTTTTCTACTCATTGTGGCTACTAGGGGCTAGCAGCTTGTGGGCTCACCAACACCGTGACTGCTGAGACGAGTGCGCAGTGCGGGTAAGAGGCACGGACGGAAGTGGTCAATAATAAAACAATGGGGGCGGGGGGCCACGTGCAGACTCACCGCTATCACCTACATTTTTTTCTATCACCTCCTGCTGCTGTGCGGCCCGGTTCCTAACAGGTTCCTAACAGGTTCCTAACAGGTTCCTAACAGGTTCCTAACAGGTTCCTAACAGGCCAGGGACCGGTACCAGGCCAGGGACCGGTACCAGGCCAGGGACCGGTACCAGGCCAGGGACCGGTAACAGGCCAGGGACCGGTACCAGGCCAGGGACCGGTAACAGGCCAGGGACCGGTACCAGGCCAGGGACCGGTAACAGGCCAGGGACCGGTAACAGGCCAGGGACCGGTACCAGGCCAGGGACCGGTAACAGGCCAGGGACCGGTACCAGGCCAGGGACCGGTACCAGGCCAGGGACCGGTAACAGGCCAGGGACCGGTAACAGGCCAGGGACCGGTAACAGGCCAGGGACCGGTACCAGTCCGCGGCCAGGGAGTTGGGGACCGCTGGTCTACGCTACAGGACCAGGAAGTCCGAAACCAATTCCCGCTCACGTGAAACACCGGTGACAAATATGTGAACTGCTCCCGTGCATATTCTTGGTTCTTTCGGTAAAGTCACGTAGAAGGGAAGTGTCCGACAGACCTGAATGACGCTGTCTTTCCGACAGACCTGTTCTTCACCTGAGGACGGCTGCTTGCGTTGTGGGCGAAACGTCGTGAGAATTATTTTATTATGTTTTATTTTCATTATTTTATTATTTCCCTTCTACGTGACTTTACCGAAAGAACCAAGAAGATGAATCCCTGCAGTCACGAAAGAAGCTTTAAATCGAAATATGACCCCGTGCACTTCTGCTCAGCCGACTCAGCCTGAGATGAGTACCGTCAGGCTGATGATATTTCTGTCCACAACGGAGCAGGTGGAGGGAGTGCTGCCTGCCCCCCCCCCCCCACATCCTCTCCAGTGTAGACCCAAAGGTCACTTGAAGAGGCCTCTCAAGAGGTCGCGCTGCGATAATTATCGCTTCAAAGGGTCGTTCTCCGACAACAACCAAGTGGTCACTTTTCTTAGGTTTTTTCGGTAAAGTCACGTAAGTAAAAACATTAAAATTAATAAAAGTAAAATAAAATAAAAATAACGACGTTTCGGAGGCAACACAAGCTTCCGCCTCCGAAACGTCGTAATTTTTATTTTTATTTTATTTTACTTTTATTAATTTTAATGTTTTTACCTACGTGACTTTACCGAAAAAACCTAAGAATATGAATCCTTGCAGTCACGAAAGCTTCAAATCTAGAATCAAGTGGTCACTGTGAGATTTACCAACGGATTGTTCGTCACAGGGACGCGAATAGGCACAATCGGGGATAAAAATAAAAATGTTTAAAAAACACAAACCCGCGTCTGACTCACGAGCTACCCAGTTACCTCCCGCCAAAGGGCGCCACGGTGGCTCGGAGATGTTAACTACCTCGCCTGGTATACAGGAGGTCGTGGGTTCGATCCTGACCCTGACGCCTGCTGCTGTATATTTGGAGTTTGCGTGTCTCTCTCTCCGTGGTGAGATGTTAACTACCTCACCTGGTGTACAGGAGGTCGTGGGTTCAATCCCGACCCTGACGCCTGCTGCTGCTGTATATTTGGAGTTTGCGTGTCTCTCTCTCCCTGTGGTCATGTGGATTTGTCTCCGGGTTCTCCGCTTTTTCCCTCCACATTTACAATCAACCTGCATTGAAATTATTTTACTGCGATGCATTTCCACGTGATAAGCCACTTTGCTGAGCTATTATTTGTGGCCAGGTCGCATCTGAATAAGCTCAGTGGGATTTACCTGGGAAGATAAAAAATATTGTTTAGTTTTATTTTGTATCTATTTTTTTTAAGTGAATTGTTTGCCTTTCCTATACTTTTTTTCGATTTAAAGCTTTCGTGACTGCAGGGATTCATCTTCTTGGTTCTTTCGGTAAAGTCACGTAAAATGGAAATAACAAATTAATAAAAATTAAACATAATAAAATAATTCTCACGACGTTTCGGCCACAACGCAAGCAGCCGTCTGTCGACCTGTTCTCCACCTGAGGACGGCTGCTAGCGTTGCGGCCGAAACGTCGTGAGAATTATTTTATTATGTTTTATTTTTATTATTTTATTACTTCCCTTCTACGTGACTTTACCGAAAGAACCAAGAAGATTTCCTACACTTTGCTTTGCGTATTGTTTGTTGTTGTAACCGTTCTGACCCCGTGCCCCGACTGGACATCTGCGAAAAAGATCTTCACAGCTCATCGGATTCCTCCTGCAGCGCTAATAAACATTCCGAAAGTTCTGATTCTACAACGAGAGGCCCGGTTACCATGATGATGGCGACCGCGATAATGGCGACGAGTCCGAAGGGCAGGAGGATGAATCCGAGCGAGGAGGAGGAGGAAGACGAGGAAGAGGGGGGGGCGATGGTGCCGCCCCCCCCGTCGCCGCCCCCACGCGTGTCGGGGGCAGGGGTCAAGGCTGCCCCCCCGGTCACGTTCCACGGCGCCATCTTCGTTGCCGTGGCGCCCGGGGCCTGGAGCCTGCCGCTCGCCTGGGCCGCCTGGGCGTTACCGCCGCGCGCCACCGCCCGGCCTCCCGCCTCCCTGCGCCGCGTCGCAAACAGCGGGAGGAAAGTTGTTTTTAAAAAGTAATCGCCGAAGACCGGGCGGTGATTAATCCGGGTTTTCAAGCGTACCCTGGTCACCGTTGTTGGCTTGCATTCAAAGCAGAACTGTTGTGTGTGTGTACGTTTCGCACCGTACGTAGCCAACCGCGCTAATCGGAGGTGCGGGAGAAGGACAACAAACTAAACACAAAAAAGCTAATTTCGATTTAAAGCTTCTTTCGTGACTGCAGGGATTCATCTTCTTGGTTCTTTCGGTAAAGTCACGTAGAAGGGAAATAATAAAATAATAAAAATAAAACCAAACCTTGCTCCCCTAACCCAGCTTAAATATACGCTTCCAAGCCTGGTGGTGTTCATTCAGACGCTGTCTTTTCGACAGCCCTGTTCTTCACCTGAGGACAGCTGCTTGCGTTGTGGTCGAAACGTCGTGAGAATTGTATTTTATTATGTTTTATTTTAATTATTGTATTATTTCCCTTCTACGTCACTTTACCGAAAGAACCAAGAACAGAAAAAAGCAGTTCAAAAGAAATTAGTTTTCAACCTACATTTAAAAGTGCATAGCTCCAGTGGCTTCCTAATGTCTGAAGGAAGAGCGTCCCACATGGCTGCAGAAGCGCATCCGAAAGCGCACGATGCTGTGACCGCCTTTGATTGATGGTTAGCCAGAAGCTTCTGCGAGCACCTCCTAATGTGTAAACACACGAGGCTGGGATGTGACGATTCATTGATTCAAACAGATGTCCACCGGAGGGGAGCAGTCATTGGTAGCCGGGTTGAAACTTTTGCCGAGTGGCAGTCAAAGATATATTTTTTAAGTCTCAGAACTGAAACTTGAGTCAAATTAAGCGCAAAAATCAATAAAATGTGATGGTGTTTTTTGTTCTTGGAGTCATTGGTGACCAGGCTGAGATTATATCAACTACATTTGAGACTTGGTTTAATCACAACTCAGTTTGGGGAAATGTGAGTCTGTGGCTCTCTGTGTGAGTCGGTGGGTCACCACATGAGTCTGCAGGTCTCCGTGCAAGTCTGCGGGTCTCCGTGCGAGTCTGTGGATCTCTGTGCGAGTCTGTGGATCTCTGTGCGAGTCCGTGGGTCTCCGTGCAAGTCTGTGGGTCTCTGTGCGAGTCTGTGGGTCTCTGTGCGAGTCTGTGGGTCTCTGTGCGAGTCTGTGGGTCTCTGTGCGAGTCTGTGGGTCTCTGTGCAAGTCTGTGGGTCTCTGTGCGAGTCTGTGGGTCTCTGTGCGAGTCTGTGGATCTCTGTGCGAGTCTGTGGATCTCTAAGCGAGTCTGTGGGTCTCTGTGCGAGTCTGTGGGTCTCTGTGCGAGTCTGTGGATCTCTGTGCGAGTCTGTGGGTCTCTGTGCGAGTCTGTGGATCTCTGTGCGAGTCTGTGGATCTCTGTGCGAGTCTGTGGGTCTCTGTGCGAGTCTGTAGATCTCTGTGCGAGTCTGTGGGTCTCTGTGCGAGTCTGTGGATCTCTGTGCGAGTCTGTGGATCTCTGTGCGAGTCTGTGGATCTCTGTGCGAGTCTGTGGGTCTCTGTGCGAGTCTGTAGATCTCTGTGCGAGTCTGTGGGTCTCTGTGCGAGTCTGTGGGTCTCTGTGCGAGTCTGTGGATCTCTGTGCGAGTCTGTGGATCTTTGTGCGAGTCTGTGGGTCTCTGTGCGAGTCTGTAGATCTCTGTGCGAGTCTGTGGATCTCTGTGCGAGTCTGTGGGTCTCTGTGCGAGTCTGTAGATCTCTGTGCGAGTCTGTGGGTCTCTGTGCGAGTCTGTGGGTCTCTGTGCGAGTCTGTGGGTCTCCGTGCGAGTCTGTGGATTTCTGTGCGAGTCTGTGGATTTCTGTGCGAGTCTGTGGGTCTCTATGCGAGTCTATGGGTCTCTGTGCGAGTCTGTGGATCTCTATGCGAGTCTGTGGGTCTCTGTGCGTGGCAATGGGTCTTTGTGCGAGTTTGTGGGCCTTTGTGCGAGTCTGTGGGTGTCTGTGCGAGTCTGTGTGTCTCTGTGCGCAGCAGTGGGCCTTTGTGCGAGTTTGTGGGTGTCTGTGCGAGTCTGTGGGTCTTTGTGCGAGTCTGTGGGTCTCTATGCGAGTCTGTGGATCTCTGTGCGAGTCTGTGGGTCTCTGTGCGAGTCTGTGGATCTCCGTGCGAGTCTGTGGATCTCCGTGCGAGTCTGTGGATCTCTGTGCGAATCTGTGGGTCTCTGTGCGAGTCTGCAAGTCTCCGTGCGAGTCTGTGGGTCTCCGTGCGAGTCTGTGGATCTCTGTGCGAATCTGTCGGTCTCTGTGCGAGTCTGCAAGTCTCCGTGCGAGTCTGCAGGTCTCTGTGCGAGTTTGCAGGTCTCTGTGCGAGGCTGCGGGTCTCTGTGCGAGTCTGTGGGTCTCTGTGCGAGTCTGCGGGTCTCTATGGGAATCCGAGGCGGGTCCTTTACGCGCCGGTTTTTATCTGGAGGTTTTGGAAGACCCTTCCCTCAATTTCGCGACGAATCTTTACACAAAAGCAATGCGAGTTTACACTAAACTTCTATGCAATTTGAAATATCAACGCCCTCGCCATTACGGATGACCACGGGTGCAGAGCTTAGGGCACAAATGCTCTCAAGCCGAGTTGGAATGCAATAACAACCGCATCTCGTCGCACGAAGCCTCACCACCTTCCTCACCGCCCTGCGTTGTGTTCCGATGGCCCAGACGTCAGACCGCTTCCGCGTCATCTACAGCGAGGCCCACGCAAGTTGACGGGCGGCAGCAGCTGAAACACATTGGTGACCATCACCAGGCACGCAGCGCCAAGTGGTCAGCAACAAACATAACTTTTGAAG